CTTGAATGTCTTTACCCGAATAGCATCACAAAGATTAATTTATCTCCTCATAAAGTGGAAATTTTCAAGCCAGTATTTCATTTTTGGAAAGAAGAGGTTCTGCTCAATCGAACTATGTGTAAATGATGATGTGTTTTCGGCCAAAGCTGAGAAGACGGTGAACTTGAATACATCACTCTCAAATTTCTACTGTTATGGTCTCTTTCTGAGTACCTATCTCTAGAAATCATTGGACAATATGGGAGAGTAGCCCAAAACTTCTGTGCTTGCCAGATCAATAATCCAAGTTCGAATTTCATGAAGATGGATGATTCCAAACGCTATTGTCGTTAGCTGCGCGGAAAGTAGAATGCTAAGGAAGGAAGAGTGTGATATTAATGATATTGGTGATAACAGAGGGGCATAAGCTCGTGATGAGCTTGATTTGTTGATTAAATAAATAAATAAATATTACATAGGGATGTTTCATCAGTTGAGTCGTTCATAAAATGAACATAGGAGTTTGCTCGTGTGGAGGTGGATGGTTTATCGCTCGATTGTTGACATAATTGATTCAGTGGTTTATCAGAGGTGCGGCATACTACTTCCATGGATAGCTTCCATTTTTGCAGTGAGAGTTGAGATAAGATCAGAAGCGGGTAGCAATTAATTGGAGATAATAACCGGTCGATAAATGTCGAACTTCCATAAGAATGAGCTCATTAATAATATGTAATATCTTTCCGAATATTTCATCAGCTCAGAACTCAAGATTCCACCGGTATGCAGAAACATAAATTAGCAGCCATAGAGCGGGATTGAAAATGACCTTAATCGGCGTTCTAGAGACGCGATTGGTTCAATTTGAGTGTGACTAAACATTTTCGTAGAACTATCCGCGAATGCTGATGCACGTCTCTGACCATTAGGCACCTCATTTTTTCACTCACCAAACAACCAAAAGATATCACATTGGATCGATCGAATCTTATTAAATCGTCTTCAGTCGCCCCGATTCGCAATAACTAACCATAAAAGTTTATTTGTTTTATTCCATTCCGCAAACGTTTTCATTCCCGTTCTTTTTGTTTTTTGCGATGGTATTGACATGATTGCATTTCACTATATTTAGTTTCACACAGTCGCATTGTGTTTTCAAAACATGTTTTCGATTAAAAATGCACAAACGGATCGCTCATTTCAGATCAACAAATCATTAGATCCCTTTAATGCAATTAAATGTTCACTTCAACCGTACGATCAGTTAATCGGTGCCAATGCTGAGTGCTATTGCTGTTACCTGAACCTTTGAGAATGATCAATCAACAGCAATGATTAATGTTCAGTGCTCTGGTCTGGACATGCTCTGCGTCCGAAATTTTCATCCACTTTGATCTCATCAAATATAGTGCGATGGCGATATTGTGAGGTGGTAATCGCGATGGAGAACATTCACGGTTGAGATCAGGCTGAGCATGGGCAGTATTGTCATGCGGGGATTGATGTTTCTACTAATTGTAAGCAAAGAAATGCTTCCTCGATATAAGCCCCATTCTGAGCGTATTCATCGCATTTACGGCCTCTCTTTAATACCTTCCTACTTCCAGTTGTTCTGCTCACTCAAAGGAATGTGCTATTTTGAAACAATACTTATTCATACTACTATATCAATACATCGGTCCATGCTCCTTGAAGGGCTTTTCAACAGGCATCAGCCATCTAAAATCTTTAAACCAGCGAATTTCTGTTCGTTACTCTCTGAACTCGTATTTTTAATGTGCATATCAGCGAAATCACATTTCGCCTAAATAACATTGGTAATTGACCATTATACTTTTTTTGGAATGTTGACGTTATCACGGAAATTTGCAACGACCTTGCCGCGGTGAATCAATGAGTTGTTTGACTGCAGTCCACTTTTGAGTGGTGGAAAACGAGAATTTTTTGAGCACCCATACAGATGGTTCATCTCAAAGAAAGTGTCAGATGAAATGAATTCTGAACGGCAATGATAAATGATAGCCTCTGATCGTCAATGGTCATCCACTCCACTTCCTGTTATTGATTTCGATGCGATTGCGATGTACGAAAAAATTAATAATTTTAATTTCATTCAATCACTCCCAAACCTTGAACGCAATCAAATATATCCAGCAATCTTTGTTCACCCTAAACAACTCTGATGCATCCTCTCCACTTTCAGCTACCATCTCCACTCGCATGATGTTCTTCTTCTGTTCAAATTTTACGGACTACCCAGCGATGTCAAGCAGATTGCGAGATTCCTTATGTTCTCGTAAGTTTCGGTCGAGATGAGTTTCACGGTCATTCAGTGAGACCACTGGAGTGTCCTATTTTGGAACATTACCACGAATGGTTGTCGCTTGTTCCCTTCCCCTAAATCTCGCAATCTGCGCGAAAAATTTACCGAGATGCTGAGACGATAGTGTGTCAAGAGTCTCTTTTTTCTATCTTGTCGTCATAGTTCATCTATAGCACATTGCACTGAAGTAGCTTAGCAAAATATCAGAGGCATTGCCTCAGTATTATTGTTAACTCATGATTGCAAGCAACATTCAATTGGAGTTTAATATTTGTTGCACATTTAGAATTGCATTCGTTGTTACCTTTTTCAAGAATACGCGTTCAAGGTGTTTTTGAACAGTGTCTCTCGAATTCTCGTGTTCCGTTTACCCTTTTAGCCTTGCTACAGATGCCATTCTCTTCGTCAGCATTCAACGCTGAACGCCGTTCCACTCATTCCTCTTCCATTCCCCTTTCATTCTCAACACTCTTTATTTGCAAATGGAATCACAGAACAGAATCTGAAAAGTATTCAATGCTGAAAAGTGTCTTCGGTGTTGAAGAAGAACCCACTCAATTGTGACTAAGTGTTCCTTTTTCAAGTATCACTAAGTGATCACAAATAAACTGAGGAGACGATGAATGAACATTAATCTGTCAAATTCCTCAACTCTCTTCACATCCTCAAATTCCATTTCAAGGATGAACCTCCCCTAATCAATGAGGAAACATTCTAATGGATAATTTGCGATGCATACGGCATGGTCAATATTTTGTGTGATGATACAGTTCGGAATGGTGTTGTTCAGTGGAATGCCACTTACTCCATGCACCAATCTGAAATGTTAATGCTTATCGTTAGCAACAAGTTTATCCATACACAATGCGGTGATGTGTGATGTTAATTTCGAGATTGTTTTGTGTTGGTCCGCTGAAAAGAATTTAATTTAAGGGAGTCGGTGCAATGTACAAACACTTCATAGCACTACTCTTCGCTTTGCTCTTCGTCGGTTTGTTCGTTTGTTGCATTTTTCATTCATGTTACCATGGATATTTTATGAAGCCCACAGATGATGTTTTTGTTGGCACGTGAACACTGCAACATCTTTAGATGGTGAAACGGTTAAACAAACTTGTTAAAGATACGGGCTGATGATTAGTTTGACAACGTCGAACTGAAGGTCTTGATGGCTCTCGGGCGTCTGTCGGAAAAGGGAGGAGGGGGGGGGGAAGGAGAGAGATACCCGAGACCCTGGACCAAACCTGTTTTGTCATCATTGTTTCTCCTAAATTCATATATTCTGAGCAAATAGATATAAGTGAAGATAAAAAATTCGACGAATGAATCAATTAAATGTTTGAACATATCCTTGACCAACAAACACAAACTCGTCATTATTCTAATAGAATGTTATCCGGTCACCTTTTGTCTGGAGATGTGATATATGGATTATCTGTGATGAATCAGAATTTGTGTGATAACATAATCATCGCAATTTTTTCGCTGATTGAAAGTTTGTCAGAGATTTGCTACATTTTTCGATCAACATTTTTAATTTATATGGCTGCATTCTCGAAATTCTTCAGCGATCTAGAGGGGATAACTAGTTTAGGCATGCTGCATATGACGTCAATCAGCACAGTAATGACGGAGGCCCGAAATTTTTAATCATCGCAATTGTCACTCAATGACTTGAGGAATATCTCATGATTCCTGCATGAAATGCATAACGCTAAGCCATTCGCATGAATTCCTTCACGAGCTGTTCAGTTCCATGAACGATCAATTTGCCTAAAGACATTTTGCCTGACGACAGCTTGCCTAAAGACACATTACCTAACGGACAATTAGCCTATCAGGAGAAATATCCATTAAAAACCGTACGTTAGGTAAACTGTCTGTTAGGCGATGTGTCTTTAGGCAAACTGTCCGCTGGGCAATGTGTCTTTAGGCAAACTGTCCGCTGGGCAATGTGTCTTTAGGCAAACTGTCCGTTAGGCAATTTGTCTTTAGGCAGACTGAACGGGTACCGTTCGATTCAGATCAATATGTCTCATAAACTTAATATGCCCATATCGAATGAAACTGAATGAAACCATTGAAGCTCTACGGATGATGTCCGTTGAAAGTGTTAGAAGGACAAAAAAAATTTGTCTTGCTCTTTTCGGAGTTAATATTTATGACTTACAAAGACTTGGCTTGTTATCGGCATCTTCATCAGATTTTTACAATTTTTTTTTTTGGTTTCTGTCAGAATGACCGTATTTTTTCATCATTTTTTCGCATCACTCTTCTATTGAAATGGACAAAAAGCATTTGAGTTTTAGGAGCGCTACCTACACGAACCGAAAAACACCGCGGAGAACTGAGGTCAGATCATGGCTTGCATAGGCCACTTCGCGCCCCGCATCGAGCATATGGATCATCCGTCTCAAAGCGAACTTCCCATTCAGCGTCGACACATCAGTTTGAGCGCCGCTCGAGTGGAGCTCATCCTCAACTAGCGCCTCATTCAAATGTGAACGAACAACACCGCAAGACACGCAAAAACGGGACTGTAGTTGTCACTAGATCTGTTTTCGGCGACTCAAAGGTTTTGGACAGAGTCTGTTGAAATTTTCAATTCTTACATTTTAAAACATCCCAGAATTAGAACAGTACATATTAATAAGAACTCAATTAGATCACAATGAAAACATCGTCGTGATATCAGACCTCGCATACATCCATCCATTCCTCCATATCCAGAAGTCCAATGTGCCCATTTCACGAAAAGGTGTCGATGTGCCGTAATTTTCTCGATTTCACCGACCATTAATTCTGTTTCACCTGCAATAATTCTCTTGAATTGTGTCATCCCGAAAATTTATTAAATGACAACAAATGAACGAAATTGCGATTTGCAAAATCGTTCTCATTAAGAATGAAATAAATCGCGATTTGCAAAATTTGCAAAAAATTCTTCGCGCGATTGCGCAATTGCAGCACTACCCAATACTACGATAAGAAATCGCTTTTGTGACAAGGTGGTATTCCTGCTAGATTTATAAAGCTAAACGACTGATGAGTCGAATGATACATTGTCAAACAACATCACAGTACTACTTCATTAATTCTCGGAACTCTAGCGTCAGATCTAGATTGGTTTTAGCAAAATCCCAACCGTTTTCTCAATCCCAGGATTGAGATGTAATCCTCGGCTCGTTTTTCAATCTCAGAACGATGCCGGGATTGAGCAACTTAGGAAACGTGACATGTTGAACACATTCTTTTTGAACCAATGCGTCGCTATTAATCAGAATACAGTTTATTCAACAGATCCTTCAAGTCAATAGATTCAACAAAAAAAGCACCGACAATACAGCAGGACAAATAAAATTCATGTACAAATGAAATTTATGATCAAATAAATTTTTTGTGATCGGAGAAAATTTTTATTTTAAAGCACACTTACGACCAGATAAAATTTGTACATTAAAAATTACTAAAGTAGCTGTTAAACAAATTTTAAATTCCTGAACTATATTAAAAATTATTCTCATCCTACAGCGCATAATTGAGTTATTTCTCTATAGTGTAGTGGAAATGTCTTCACTATGTTTTTTTCACTCGAAATTCCATTAATCATCTTGCGTCATTGATCATGTATGAGATGTTTTCATACCACGTGAAATGAAATTTACAATTGTTTCTGAATTCCTATCTTTTGTAAAATACCACAAGAAAGCTGACAAAAGAGGGAATATTCTTAATGAAACTCCGTGAAAATGGGGATGACTGATGGTTGATTCAGAATGGATATACTAGCAAATTCGTGCAAAATGAATTGCTCTATCAAATCTCGAAATCCAGGGATTTTTCAGAACGTGAATCCCGTGATCGAGATGAGGGGTCAAAAGATGCAACTTCAGGATCACGGAATTCCCTGCAAACCCCAGATCGATTCATCAGTTTCCATCGAAATTTGTTCACAGAAGACGATCACTTTTCAAAATGATATTTTTTCGCGAGTCAATTTTCGAACATGTATAGAGCAGTTATGCTTCCAAATAAACGCTCAAGAAGTGCCAACTGAATCAGTTCAATCAACGAATTTGCTTTTCAGACCCTTCAACGCGATTCCACTGAACAGGCATTCGAACACTTGAGCGATTCACAGCTTTCTTATCTGTTAAAAAAGTGTTTGGGAAACGGCACCAAACTTGTGAGTGTTGCTTTATGTAAATACTGAGTTGATACATCAGGTAATGGTGTCTCATTCCTAAGGCGGGAACATCCTCACTGAGGTTATCATACATTTCAGGCAAACGCAAGTCGTAGTGAAAAGATTAAGAGACTGCGTCAGCTGGTCAAAACAAACGGACGTCAAATACTATCGAATATCTCGAAACTAACTTCAGATACTAATCATCTCAGGAGGACCACTGTTACGTCGCCAACCATGAAACCTACCCGTCCTCCTCATTATCGCAAGCAAAAGCCACCAAAAACAAAATCGACTCCCCCGCAATCGACGACGACGACGGAAGAGACATCGGAATCAACAACTGCAACTACACCGGAATCAACAACCGAAACTACACCGGAATCAACAACCCAAACGACCCCGGAATCAACAACCGAGACGACACCGGAATCAACGATCACAACAGAAATAGAGTTTGTTCGTTAGATGATATCAAAACGTCACTACTGCGATGAAATAACGCTGAGAAATCATTGGTGGGGTGAGTGCGCGCAGTAGACTGTTTGCTAGGATCATCAGCGCAAAAAAAAAACAATCGTTGAGCAATTCGCATTCATTCAGAAAACCACAGGGCCTCCTTTTACTGCCTTGAGGCTTCAAAAAAAACAGCCTTCCGCGCATGTAAATATGAGAATATGCATTCCAATTCAAAATATCCAACAAATAAAACCAGACTGATGGTCGTTCATCACACGATGTGATAATTCGTTCGTACTTGAAAATGACAGCACCACAGTTTTACATCAATCACTTCTCAACGATGATTCGTTTGCAGCGTATTCACTCTCACAATTACCGAATTATCGCCATAGAGAAAATAGAAACAATAAAAACATTCAGAATTCTCGTTCAAATACGTTATCTGACCGTTTTTAGTGATTGTTATCATCGGTGAAAAAGAACTGGTTTTAGAACAGAGCATAATAATTTGCGGTGTAAAATGTTGTTTCAAAAGTTTCGTGGAAATTTTGCCTTGCAAGAGATTGAGATGGCCCTAATGTATAGTTTGAAAGCGAGCACTTGATCACACTGCAGCGTTCACAATGCCAATGATGACTTCCAAACTTGCTGAGTGTCCTGTCCCGGAGATCAACAAGCTTCCGCAATTCATTCAAATCGCACTGATTGTGAGATGATCTTTAGAGTTTTTGATGGCTCAACAATTGCTGCAAGCTTTCCACATTCATAAGGCGCATGATGGTGATAGGTGAAGCAAAGCACTAAAGTTATGTTGCTGATAAAATGCGCACTCAAAAATATTACGAAAATGTTCAACGGCTTTAATCCGTCTTCAGCAGCTTCACCTAAAAAGATGGCATAGCGCCGGAACGTTTAACATCTAATATCACTATCTTATTTCTGATGATGCATATAACATTTTTTTCAACAGCACAACCTTACCATTTTTGATGAGGAAATGCATAAATTTTGTAATGCGGAAGAATATGCTTAATGGGAAAAATTTATTATGATACGAAAGGAAAACTTGCGATATTTCGATTCAGATAAAAGCGAATTGTTTGTTTTGCGTTGTGACACCAAACGACCACACCAATGATTCAGCGTGATGACTGAGCGTGATCAACCGTGCGATCGTGAGCAATGACCCGATCTAGTGGCTTACAATTTCAATTTGTTGATATTTGCCAACATCGCATCCGAGCAATTCATCCGCTGATAATTAGATGATCTCTTTATCCGCCATAGTTTTTCTCTCAATGAGTCGAACTGCTGAAAATTTCTTCGTGATTAGTTCATATGGATTTCAAAACACATCTCATAAGAATATCAGCTGTCGTAGATCTCAAACGTTCTCCAACTTCTCCGTTTTTTTTTCTCTCCTCTAAACATCCAACAAGGATACCATCGTTTCATACATCAATAATGGTGACATCTTATTGAGTCCGCTCCCATTCGAATCACTTCTACGATTGCAAGATGAATCTGCACTCGGCGGTTGTGTTCATCTTATTCATTTCCCATATCCTCATCTCAAATGCTTTGAAAATTCTTGAACTTCCACTATATGCTAAAAGACATTTCAGAGGGTTAGTTTCGCCCTTCTTCAGTTCTTCTCTACATGATGCCCTTTACTATTAAGGCATGTACCGCTATATGAGGCATTCTGTCTAAAGCATTCTGCATTTCTGATTACTTCCTGTTTTATAGTCGCGACACCCTTTCTTGAAACTTGTGAATGAACCGCCTGAACAACTACAATTAACATTATTCGACGAATACTTTCTTCAGAACGACTGATGCTGAAAGTATAGCAGAGAGTGAGCAGTATTTTGGACCGCAATTTGATTCGAATTCGCTTCGTGAGTCGTTAGTGCCTCTGAGACGACCTACGGTGAGTTTCTTTAAACATTCATATCATTTTGCTTCTCTTAATGATTTTTACGATTACGACTGATATCACTTCTTGATGATTCACCACAAATTGTGTTGTTGAATGAAAACGAGTGATTATGCGTCATCTTATTTTCGATGAATTTCATTTGCTGTGAAACGCTCAGGTCAGGATTGGAACGATTAGGTTCCGTTTGAATGACTGTCAATATTCAATTGTATGAATGAGTGTTCTTGTTAATGACTGTCAATAGTCAATCGACGTACGAAAGTTGACCATAAATAATTAGAATATAGCATTCAGTTGACAATGATGGAATCACTGCACTGTTTTATTGGTTTTCAGAAACATAATGAAACGGCGAAATCTGAGCAAACACAAAAGGAATCCAGTAAGAAGACGTCTAAAGAGAAGCGTCTCAAAGTGCTTTTTTCTACACTCGCTCAGGTTTGTATGTTTGAGATGATAGAAAAAATCTCAAAATTCACTCTGATAGGATCGCTGAAGATGTCTTTGGAAACATTACAGATCCCAGGCTCGCGAATAATTCATGACTATTACAGAAAGAATTCCATCCAGTTTATGATCCGACAACTTGTATTCGCGTCCTATGTCCATCAATTTAGGTTCTATGTCGACAGTGATCATTCAGTGTCCAGTCAATAAATGAATATAAATGCATCATTAATGCGTCAACTATGGGCATTTCTTATTTTGACATTGATTATATCTTGATTAATGACTTTTTAGGTGAAAGCAAAGTACGACAAACTTCGCAAAGAATATCTCAAACTATATGAGCAGATCAAGACAAACAACATCACAGACTCCAAACATTCAGTTCTCAGGGGATCGCGTACAAGCATCGAAAAATCCAAAAAGCACTTCAACAAAACAGAATTGCTCAACAATTTAAAACGTCTCGCACGCCTCTCAGGAGTACTCTCCAATCTGATTAAAAAGGAACAGGTTGAGATTTCTCGCAACATTTTCCTCCTATGCTAGCGTTTGCACATTTCCATCACCACGTGATGTGAGCTCTGAATGCAGTCCAGAGAGCTTTTTGTTTTTCAGAAGAAAGTTAAAGGTCATCCAAAGTTACACAGCTCGAAAAGTGTTGATGCAGCTGCACGTATATTAAATGTGGATAAGGTGAAAGGTGGCAAACATAATCGCAACAGGAACAGAGCGAAGTCATCCAGTTTGATAACATCGAAAGCGCCGAACGGAATCATTACCGTAGGACGAAGTTTGAAGCAACGGAGGAAGAACGGTAAGTATTCAATTAAGACATTTCCTGATATCAGAGTAAAGGATACTGGAAGCTAAATGATAAAGGGTCGAAAATGTAAAAACCTCATCGTTCCACTGTCAGATCAATAGCTGACGATGAACAGAGTAACTTGTGAATTAATATCAATCCTTGCTAAAGTATTAATCTCAGTGCATCACTTGCAACAGACACTGAGTGGCAAATCAGTGGATAAATGGACATGGGCAGATATCGTCTTAGTACTGATTATATCTTTTTGAAATACAGATCACAAAACGGATTCGTCAGCAGTTCGGCCAGCTCCGTTCAAAAGTACGCGGATATACAAGAAAAATCACACTACTGCGTCGCACAGCTCAACTGGAAAGCATCGGCCGCATCACTTGAACAAAGATTCCAGCAAGCGTGCCGACAACTCAAAGAAGTCAGCTCGAGTGCAAAATGCAGCTAAAATTGCTGAGTCTCCGATGGAAGATCTGAGAGCTGATCGACGGGAAAATAAAAGAAAGCATCTAAATAATCACAAGTCACACAAGGAATCCGTCTCGCAATCGCATCGAACAAGCAAGAAAAAAGCAACACAACAAAAGGTGACGAAAACCAATCGTCGGCACGGCTCACGTGATGAGATTAAGCAAGGAGAACTTTCACATTTGATTTCCAGTCGTAAGGAATCCCATGATGGCGTAAAATCTAAAACAACTCATCGCAGGCCAACTGCTCAAAAACCCAAGCTGGAGTCATCTTCTGAAGAATCTGCTCCATCCAAACCATCCAAGCCTGAATCATCTGAGACAAGCGATCCCTCAGCATTTTCAGAAATAAACTCAGGTATGCACTCACCATCACTGCTGCTTTCATGGTAATCCGTATTAATTCACACGTTGCACGCGATCTTTCCATAAACTTTCACTAGTCATAAGGTCCAACTCCATTACGTTTGAGATGAGGAGCAATTATAAACAGACTGATAAACATGTGTTCCCATCAGTAAACATCGATGATTCAGACGCTTGAAAAAGCAACAAAAAGGGATCTAATTTGTCGTGAATAAAGATATTCACGATTTTTTGATTCATCCTTAGTGTGCAATATCCATCTCTTATCAAATTATTCTATCTTAATTTTGAATATATTGAAACTATATTATTTCTGCAATACATATCTCACATCATTTTATATAGCATTATTTCCTCTTATCTTGCCATAATCGAACAAATATTATGAAGCTAAGTCTATTCTGATTATTGTTGTTGTTGTGTACGTATAAGTAAATCGAACGTCTGCTGTTAACGATCTGCTTCAACACATCCAACCGCACCACACGTTATAACCTTTCAAAACAGAGTTATTTACTAAAGTTTGCATTTAAGAAATTCCTAATATCATGCTTAACAGCATCTGGTATGGTAGTTGTAAATCTTATGAAGGACATTGCTATCGAAATGAATGAAGAAAAAGATAGGTGGCTGAACACGAGTCGCTTTTAGCATTAAACGATTGTTTTTGCAGCAACAGCAACAGATAATCGCGATATGAGTATCATGGAACTGATGATGAAGCTTAAGCAGGAATATGCAGAAATGAACGCACCGAGAGCACAACCTATTCCCAAGTAACCATTGCTCAGTTTTTGTGCTTTTCAAGAAACATTCTAGATGCTTCTTCTTGATGAACCTTACTCAACGAATTCACGCATTCAAACGACAATATCTGTGAACAGTTTTCGTCTCGATAAGTACTATCGCAATGCATTGCTTTCTCAATGGGATTTTAGATCTTTCGGAGAAGATGAATCGATAACATACTGAAAATTATGCAAGTCAAAGTTGATTCGATGAATTACACAAAAAATTTTTAATATGACTTTAAAATTAAAGTAAAACATTTTTTAAAAAATTGCTTCATCATTTTGGTGCCATTTTCAGAGCACTCTTAGAGGACGATGGTAACGATGGTGGAGCTCTCAGCAAATCCGAAATGAGCATAAACAGCTCAAGAATAGCGGTTCACAAATCGCAACAAAAGAAAAGCTCGCGAACTACTTCTAAAAAAGTGGTGCACAAAAAAGTCGAGAAGACCTCTCGAGAGGATAATGGTGAGGAGGAAGAAGAAGCGGAAGAAGTCGGCAGTGAAGTAACCACAACACCACATGACGACAACACTGACGTGGAAGAAAATTCAGAACACGTTCGCTCTCGTACGGAAGGAAAATCAGGAGAAGCTAATACTCGGGTGGAGGAAACGTCTAAAGCGGAACAGTCTGAGGCTGAAGAAACTTCTGATATGGACAATGATATGGTGCAAAAAAGCTCAGAGGAGGATCGTTCGTCTCGCACAAAGGAAGCATGTGAAATGGTTCAATGTGACTTCGAAGAAGGTTGTTTCAACTGAGCTCGAACGTTGAGTTAAAACAGTGAAATTCGCAAGAATCCAATGGCGAAATGGAATCAGATCGTTCTCATTTAGTGGAATGCATTTTCAGGAAGTTTGTGTTCATATAAGTCGACAAAAGATGACGTGAGTCCATCAAGTAAACACTACAAGCAACGAGCTAGACAACGACGAGGCGCGCACATGACACGAAGGAGCTGGCACAACTGGCGAGGACGATACAGAAATCATCTCACGGGCATCGCACACGCCAGTTTGTTTCACCTCTTCATCTCATATTTGTTGGGGACTTGTCAAATTTCTATGGGCTTTGTATAGCCAGCCTATCAATTAAATTCATTCACTCATGTTACTGATGCCATAATTGTAAGACTTTTGATGTAAAAATCCTGTAATCACTAAATGTTGAATCGGGTCAGACTCACGATCAGACAAAGGTGCATGCTTAGGCCCCCCAGTACTGCACTCAGTCCAACTGAGACGTATACTTGGTCTCGAACGCACGACTGAGTGACTTGATCAGAGATGACGGCAAAAAAATGAGCAGCTGCCTAATCAATCGCATTTCGTATTTACAGGAATATTTGGCAAAAAGAATAAGCGATTCGCAGCCGCATATGTCAAGCCGAAGCAATGGGCCGCTCTCACAACAAAACTTCTGTCTGGACAATCTGAGACGATCAGATTCCGTGCTTGGGAAGCTACATCAGGCGTTCAGTTGCGTGTATGTTGTGATAGTTTCAAAATGTGCCCCTTCGTATCAGAATTGGGAGTCAGTAAAAAAAATCGCAACTGGATCGAACATAGTGCAACGTGTCCACAAGGAACGTCAAAGGTAAGGCCTAGCTATCTCTTAACATCAGCGCATTCTAAATTTTTGTTTATCTCAGACTAGCGGCACGAGGTAATTCTAGATCTTCATTCTAATACGTTGACAAAATGCACGTCACTTGAGTTGAATTCATCGTGATCTGAATGCTCGTTAATTTGACACACTCTGAAAGTTGTTCGCGCGCAAGTTAGCCCCTTATGAGCATATGAATAAGCACCCGTGGAAGACTGAACATAAATTGAATAAATGAAGCTGAATTGCACAAAGGCTTTCCGGTTGACCCAAATGAATTTCTCGCGTTGCCATTGGATTTATAATTTTCTACAACTGATTGCGAAGGTCGTTAACAGCTCTCGCCGTAGTGTGAATTGACAAATATGATATTCTAATTTACGTGATAGCTGTTTCTGCATAGTTACAAATTTTTTGCGCCCTATCGAACGAAATCCACCTTTTCCGTTAGTGGCGATATAAAGTTAACTTCAACAGTCAAACAAATTTCAGTTGATATTTGCATGCGAAAACACAGGTGTCAATCAAGGCGCATGTGGCCTTGATAACATCCATTTGGCCCACGAATCGTGCACCGCTTTGATGAACTGAAAGCATGACGAAGAGCGATCGCAGTGGATGTGTATTTCTTGTGTGCCATACACCTCATTTCAGTCCGTTGCGTTCATTGCTTTGAGACGTCGGTGGATGCGCACTCATAGTTACAGATTTAATAAATTGTCAGTTGCTGTCGAAAACTTAAGTGTCTTTTCTGTATTGCTTCTCTGTTTTGACGCAGATGCAGTAATTGCAATAATTGAAGTTAACTTCAACTCTGCACCAATTCTAACTCCTTAAGAATCTAATGTATCTGATTATTTTCCAGAAATGAGATCAAGTTTTGCATGCGCTTCCACTCTGGAAATTCACGAAGAACTCACATCATTGAAAAACAAATTACCAAGCATATGAATTGAGGAATTTTCTGAGACCATAAAATTCCCCCTTTCAGTACACTTGAAAGGATATCCTCAAAAATATGACCACGTTTTTACAAATACGCTTAGGAATGCTAAACATTTCAGCAAATATTATAAGATTGTCTTTCTTCAATGTGCATTATTTGTTGTCAACGAAACGTTTTTTCCACCGTTTTATGATTGTTCGCAGTTAGTGTAGTTTGAGTTGTTAATAAGTATCTGTACTACAAGCTCGTTAAATATTCATTACATTTTAATTTGAAATCCATAACGCAATGCAGCACTGTACCGTATAATCTTTCGAATAATTAAATGAGAACAAGGCAAACATCGAAGTACTATCATAAATTCAATGACCTCACGTTACCAATTTGGTCATTTAGGTAAAGAAAGGGAAAAACGTCAAGAAACCACAGACATCGCCTCCGATCTTATTTTATTTTAATTTCAAAAGAACTCTATGGAAAACCAATTCAAGTGAGACTGGTGGCGCCTTTAACTGCTGTCACTCTATGAAAATGATGCGGACTATGAAATTTATTTCAATGGGAGGCGGATGAAAATGAGCATTTTGCATGAATGCACCAAAAAATACAACGATGGTTTAGTTATTCACACGATCAAGAANTCTCTAATATCTACAAACATAACGATCGCTTACAATAATTAGAACCTTCAATCACACAAAATGGTTAAAATAACGAAATTACCAAATCTATTTCCCTTCACCGTGATGAACAATGAATCAAAAGGAAAAAAATATCAGCAAGAAACTGAACTTCAAAGAACAGACCAACTCTATCATTCATATAAAAATTTCAAAAGCGTAACTCTCATATTCACATGACCGGTATTTGCCGCTTCGAAGTGCGCACATCTAAATGATACGAAAGGTTTAAAATGAAACAAAGTGGATCGGCAAGCATTTAACGATTTGTCGAGTCCAACAGATCTTTCGCTTCGTTGATTTTAGATGCCAAATACGGTGATCCTCCTAAAAACATGGATCGCTTAGAAATCTTACGGAACGGTAGAAATGTATATCTCAAGTTCAGATCGTTTTCAATGAGGGTGTTTTCAAGCAAAGCATACTGAAAGCAAAGTCGGATATCTTGTGAATACCAGCAGAAGTAACATGGACTGATGGAAAAACTAAAAGTGTACCTCTATCTGGATGATTAGCAATCATGATTCGTTTATGAGCTTCCTTGATTCGGATAGGTTTTGCCGATGGCTGTACTCCCAAAATCAAAGCCGCTTCTCGCTTGGACATTTTCGCTTCAAAGCCACCACGGTGATATTTCGAAAACTGGAAATGAAAATCAACGCAAAGTAAGCTAATCGTAATGAAGTGACCGAATAGGAGTTATGCGATAATCAACATATTCTTGAATTCATACAGCTATGGCAATGACTTATGGTAACAGAACAACACTACTGATGAGTTTTCGCTACACAATTAAGGAACAGTGCGGTGAGGGCTCTCTCACATTTGCTATAACCTACGGAAAAGGAAAAAAATCTTACGGAACTAATACTACGGAAATGGACATTGGATCATCTGTACCTCAGTAAACTATCGAGTAGCAAATACCGAATTCGCATACAACAGAATTCATTCAATTAATTAGATAATATAATTATGCACGCACCGTATCGATAGGCAACGAATCGATGGTTTTCTTGATGAATGCTCGATTCTTCAACAATGCTCGACCAGCAAAACTCGCAGCGGCGATTGTCACACCAGCCAGAATCAGTTGCGAGGACTGAAAAATGAGATTGAGATTGACCCTAACAACCATATAATGAATTGACATTGAATTACACTACGGGGATATGACAATGTGAAAATTATTTCGTTTCTACTCGCAAATATAGTCAGTCTTGATGTAAAATTGGTATATGATCCATGTAAGACATTTTCACCAGAGTCAATGCGATTATCCGAGGACAGTAACATTCTATCAAACTGAGGACAACACTGAATGGTACTTCAATGGAGTGGGACCCTCACTTCGGTTGAGTACGAAAAACACGGTCAATTATGATAACTAAGTAAAAGTAATTGGTAAAATCAGAAAATTTCCAATAGAAACACTCCGGCTTACCATGATTATATTGTAGGCAAAGTAGCGTAGTTGCAGCTCTCAGCTTCCGTTGAGATAATCTGTACGACCCAACTGAAATCGGAGAATATAGACATTAATATCGATATCGGTTACGTGCAAACAGCCAGATCCAATTAACAAATAAAACTATTGTATTATAACACTCAGTGAAGAATATCATTTAACAAAAACCACGAAATCAACCCCACAAAAAAATCTCGAGACTTTTTCGAAATCTATTCATCGTTATTCAAAACAGACGGTCATCCCCACGGAAATACTACGAAAATGGTCATCCCCACGATAAACCCGAAACCATCTTTACGTTTCATATTAACACTCTACCGAATAAATTTACACTCCACCGAATAAATTAACACCAATTGCATAAGAAAAGTGCGTGTCTTGCGTCGCCAACGATGTTATATCATACAGATCGACGTCGATGAAACGATTCGCACAATTTCTCAAACTGCTTTATTAGCTTTTTGAATATATTCAGCTGTAAATTGTTTCTAATTGGTAGCACTTGGTATTTTTCAATTTTGGTACGAAGATGGGTAATCGTGCAGTTCAAGTCAAAGAAAACGGGATGTGGGATAATACACACAGAACACGGCTCAGCCATCGCATGCATGAAGACATTCTGTCATAGATATCTCCGCATATAAATAACTGCTTTCTCAAACAAGGGAAAGCGCTTCTACTCAAGTTAATTTCATTTGACAATGAATAGACAAGCATGCTCACAGCCAATTGTGATACATGCAACGAGAAGTAAACCATTGATAAACACCAAACAACAATCGAATAAGGGTTGGATTCATATTACGAATATAGTCAATTCACCTGACAAGATGAAAAATAGGTCAGTTGCAAATTAATACTCACTGAAATGAAACCAAACTAATGAGTATTGACCTATTATGCAGTAAAATTCAAATGCACAATAATACCAACTGAAATGACTCCGTTCTGGACAGCATTTACCATTAGCTTGATTATGGAGATCCTGATATGACTACCGTCTTCTGTACGTTGATCAATGCAGACACAGTGTATTGGAATGAGCCACTTAGCTGCGTAAGATGGCTTCAGGAAATTGTTGGTATTGCTTGTAGTGAACAAAATCGCTCGACAATACATATACGTCTCGTAAATCTTAGAAACATATGAAATCAAGTGATATTTTGACAGACATGATCTAAAATTTGAACAATAACAATACA